ATGTATCTATTTCAAACCTATTTGGTTACTTGTAACTGTATACTATGAACATGATAGTGTAGCCGTATAAGAAGCACAAATACAATATTTCTTTAAATCATGAGTCAATTGAAACTAGACCACCAGAGAAAACATGGAAGCACTGAACAGACGTCTCGTCCTACTGCAGGACTCCTTAGCATTGCGCATCCACGATCCCGCCTCGTAAAGTTCGAACTCAGGACCTATCGTTCTCGCGCACAGGCGCTTAACATATAAGCCGCTGAGTCGGCATCCAGCAGTGTCAATGTGTAACTTTAAATAATTCACGAAGTTGCGCCACCATCCACCATTGTTTTCAGTGCGTTACTATCTCACAACAGACTCGGTTGGACTCCATTGGTCACTTCTGAGGAGTCTCACAATAGGTTTTCCATGATGTTCTAGCTTCAATTGACTCATGATCCCAACTATTAAAATTACTGTAATATCTACAAAAGCCCATTCTGATAACAATAACAGTTTTTAGAATGAAATCTTAAATGAAAATTATACTTTAATATCAAGCATTTTTCCACTGAATTAATGGAAAAAAACCCATCTAGAAGTGCTAGATACAACTCACTTATTGAAAATGTTAAAGATAATCACGACCTTAAAACTATTCATAAATCAAAGCTTAAACTTACCACACTATCATAATGGGTCGGTTCAAACAAAATATTGTATCTGTATGGTTGTGTGTCGTACCACTGAGATTGAATATCGAGCACATATGTATATATGTCATAATAAAATGTAATTGATTTCAATTGATAAGTGGTATCGATAATAAAGGATTTCCATGTTTGAATATAGATATATGTACACATAAAAATTTACAAAGTGAGTCGTCATGTAATAACTGCAAGGCAAACTAAAAGGATCGTAAACATAGACCCAAAAAAAGTATCTAACTGAGGGGAGAGGGCTATGGAGATTGTTGGTTTTCTCTTAGTTTACATCATAAACTGATGTTGGTTAAATACTTTTTGTAAATCAGGAAGCACTATACAGTTTTTTCATCATTTCATGAGGCTTCTCAGCGCTATTCTTCAGTGATTCCAGGTTTTCACTGTTTTAATGTTCACTCTAAAAAGTTTTGCTAAGATCAATCTGTTTATTCATTTAATAAGAGCAAAATCTGAATGGAATTATATATATATATATAGAAAGGGTGTACCATAAAATTACTTGTATACTCCATTTCTATCACGTTATTTTTAAGTTACATTTCTAAATACTTTTTGTTTGTAACAACATAAGTGATGTACATACTGGAAATATCTTCATACTTTACTAGAGGTTTGTACGTATAAATTGATTTATCAAGGGAAGTAAAATTGTTTCTCTCTCCTCCATAGTTTGTCAACATTCTTAACATAAAGCTGAAAACTTGAATTTACTCTCAAGATTAATGATCATACTAAAACTTAGATGATAAAATTCAACTCTGTAATTGATTACTGATAGACAATGTTATTCTTATAAGATTTTTATAATGATTTATTTAATTCCTTCATAGTATCATTTCAATTGATGTCAATTAATGGAAGTGTCTCATATCATGATGAAGTAACTATTTAATGCCCTGTAATTTCCTATAATGCTCCAACTAATATCAATGTCATAGTGAATATTAACTATAAATGAATTATATTCATTCAATCATAGATTTTGTAAACATTTAATTGATTGAATACTTTCCATCTTAAATGTTTCTGATTGAGATCATAAACCGATTGATGTTAGACTACCTTTGGAAACCTGGAAGCACTAGACGACCGTTTCGTTTTATTGTGGGACTCCAGCAGCGGGCATCCACGATCCTGCTTGGGGGATTCGAACCCAGAGCCTTTGGCGAACGCTTAACCTACTGAACCACTAAGTCGGCATCCAATGGTGATAGTGTCTAACATCAACCAATCCACGAAATTGAGTGACTATCTTCCATTGTCCTGAGGTAGATACCTGTCTCAACCCGACATGGATTAGTTCTATATATATATATACGGCTGTGTGTGTATGCGTGCATGTGAATATGTATGTATGGATATAGTAGTAAAAAAATGAACAATTCTATTTAGAATTTATGTTGATTGAAGCATAAATGATAAAGTTTTTTTACACAACGATACAAATAATCATGTATATTACCAATCATTATTATCATTTCCTAATGATTAAAAATCATTTTTTGCCCATATTATTTTTTTTATAAAAGAAATATATATAGAAACGGAAATTGACATTTAAATGAACAAATGTTAAAAATAGAACACAATTTCCTTGTGTCTATGGCTATCTTACTCGCCTCCCCCCTCTCTTGTTCCCTTTCTGTTTGTCTCTTTGTTTTCCCTAATTTTATTCACGGTCGAAACACATGTCATATATTATTATTATTATTACTAATGGTGAATACTATAAAAAGATGAAGTTATTGAATGTCATTAAAAATCAAAATCTTGTTTGTTTCAATGTTTCAATATTTCTTCATTAATAATATTGAATATTGAACGGAAATATGGATGAATTATTATTGTCAAATGAATTGTTTATTAAAACAAGAACAAAAATTTAGAGATAAATAAATATGTAAGGCTTTTATATTGTTGTTGTTAAGGGGAAAAAAGTGTCTAATATTATACATTTACACTTGAGATGATTATTTTCAAATAATAAATAAATGAGTATTCATGTGTATAAATAGGAAATATATCATTTATGAAAACATGATTATAAGTATGAAAGCAATGGATGGTTGTTTCATTCTGATATGAGACTTTTAAGCAGTGTATATTCATGAATCTGTTCTCAGGAATCAAATCTAGAACCTTAGGTCTTGCAAGCAAACGGTTAATTAATAAACCACTGAGTTGGGTTGCTTTTAATGATGACTTAACTTAGATCAGTTTATGATTTTAATGAAATTTCTGTAATTGTTTTAAAGAATTCATAATGAAAAGAATAAATGAAGCGTTGTTGTTTTGTTTTTATTACAGCTGAAAAATTGAATTTGTAACAAATAATTTTATTGATATAATAAGATTTGTTTACTAATTGGATACATGCTTTCCAATGTTGCATTTAGTTGAGAATTAATTATATTACTTATATCATTACTGTTCAAGTTAAGTCGTAAAAAGATTGGCTTTTTCTCGACCGTGGTATATTCCATTCCCTTTGCTTTAGTTATTCTATACTTTTGTAGAAAACTATTGGTAATTACGAAATAGTTGAATTCATGAGTTGGTCTAAGCTAGACCACCATTGAATACCTGGAAGCACTAGACGGCCGTTTCGTTTCAACACCTAACTCCTCAGAAATGCGCATCCACGATCTCGCATGCGAACGCTTAGTCTTTAGACTATTGAGCCGTCATCCAACGGTATTATTGTCTATAACTTCAACCAACTGATGATATTGAGCAATCATTCATCCATTGTCTGAGGTAGATACCTGTCTCATAACCGACACGGGTCGGGCTCCACTAGTCAAGGCGGAGGAGTCTCATAGTAGAACGAAACAGCTCTCCAGGTTTTCACGGTGGTTTAGCTTAGATCGACTGATGAATTCAATTTTTAAAATCATTACAATCTCCACAAACCTCCACTCTAATAATAATTATGAGATAAACAAAAGTGTACAAATGCCCACTTTATATTACCTTCTTTTGTATTTAGTAGTTTAGGTGTACGTACCAAAGAATTTACATTAGAAGAATAGAGGTACATACCATAATGATTAAGAATAAAACAGTCAACATGGCTTTTAATAATTAAATTGACTGTCATCTGTTGGATAGTGGTTAACATGTTGATATTTTAAAATCATTTAAAATAATTAACATTTAAACAATTTTGAATTTATTACATTTCACAAAGGCCACTAATGAAAAACAAAATTAGAATTGAACATACACATTGAAAGGGATACAATTGTCAATCTTCTACTTATCTTGTGACTTTAATTTCCACTATCAAATTACGTAATATATATTCCCTTTTTATAAAACTTTATTGCCATGTAATTTAGAAATTTCTCGTATAGAATTATTACATAACTATTACAATTCGCTTTTTCATATTCATCTCAATCATTCTTTTCATGTTCACTAATGTAATATAAAGTGTTTAAACTGATTTTTAAATACTGTTTCTAGGTTGTAAATCAGCTGATGAGAAATCATGAGATTAAAAATTAATTCATATATAATTCTGATACGTTTGTTATTCTTGGTTTATATTAAATTTCTCAGTGGAAACAATCGTATTAAACCTAAGTATGTAGAAGGTATGTAGTGCTCAGTGTTACACCACTTAATGTTCTGGTACGGCCAAGGGTGGGGAGAATTCACTCTCCCTCTTGAAATGCCCCGCATAACCACGGCTATACAGACACTGTCAAGGAGGTCCAGCTCACTGCCTTCTCAAAACGAGGGCGTTTTTACTAAACTGAAAGGACGAAAAGCAAATGTCCGATGCTTTAACCGGGTTGGTGGATATGGCGGATCTAACTAGGAAAGTTGGAATACCCTGATTCCAAACCAATGGTGCACATGGGCTCCAGAATCCTGAGGAAGCAAAGAGAGTATGAGCCTATTTTTAGCTACCGGCTACTATGAGACTGCATCTTTTACAGTTTCTCCACTGTCTTGTCGATTAGACCTTTAGGTAGAAGGCTCGGAGAGTGGCCGCCTAAGAAAACCGCCTGCTTCGGTTTGGGCCCTTACATAAATCGAATGACGAAATGTGACGGATGCATATTTGGCGCCTCCTTGTAACAATGTTTATGTGTCTAAATAAATAGAAAACACAGTGTAATATCACACTAGATTCTTGATGTCATTAAAAATGATGCTAACTAGAAATGTGGAAATACTTTTTTAAACTTCATTCATTGTTCTATGACTTTAAATTTGATCCGATATATTGATAAAGTATAAGTACCTGACTTTCACCTCTTCTGTCTTTTATTACAGGTTGATGCAGATGAATTAATTCCAGTTTGTGGTGTAGGTCGTCAAAATACCAATGTTCTTGGTGCATTTATTCTTGGACCTCAAACCGTTCTAATCACTTTAGGAGGTATTGCGTTTACAATTGGTTTCCTGTGTTTGTTACCATGTTTTCGCAAACGTAAATGTTTTTATTGGTCACAGTGTAATACTAATGGAAATCAATCAAGTCGACATCATTCTGTTCAATATAAAAAACAAAATTATAATCATGGGATAGATGGTCAACCTACTGATAGTAATCCCACATTGACAAGATCTATGGTCAATAGATCTCATCATCAACATCATCGTCATCATCATCATTATCAACCTACATCTCATAATACCCATCAATCTCATCATCATGCATATGATCATCAGTCTCATCCACAATTCCATAATCATTCTTCTCGACGTTTTCATCAAAATTATCCTCAACATTTATGTTATACAACCTCAGTGTCATCATCTTCATCATGTGATCCAATGGAATTTCGTATTGGGTTATTCTGTTTTCTATATTTAATCCCATTAATTTGTATGAATGCCTGTGATTTATACGAATATTTATATCGTGATAAATGGTTAACTATTCCCGATTATAAACAACATTTGAACGATCATAATACTAATACGAATACCAATAATTATAGTAATAATAATATGAATAATAATGATAGTCGTAAATTAATGAATAGTCGATATCATAACATTTATGGGACAAGAAATCATCCAGAGATAATGAATTTTGCATCATATTTATGGAATATTAATGAAGTATATGGTCCAAATCCAGAATTATTTATGTTACGTATATTTATGTCACTTGTCACTGGATTCACATGTAGTTTATGGATGTGGACTGTGAAAGGTTGTTGTTGTTCTTATTTAAATTATGATTGTTGTTTATGTGTAACAAATAATATTGGAACATTGAAACAAAAACGGTGGGAAAATCAAAATTTACTGCGAAATTCAAAAATAGTCGAATTGACTAAACAGAACTATTTATGTTCAAATGAATTGATTAAAAATAATGATAATAATGGTAATAAGCATATTTTAAAATCCAATTTTACACGTACACCTGATGGTACCACTTATACACTACATCCATATGCAATTTATCAACATACAAAAACACCAGACAGTTATCATTCACAACAATTAGGAATAAATGGACAATTTGATCATCGATTTCCAATAATTGGTTGTTGTAGTAGTACTAGTCATACTAATACTACTACTAATCCTGATAAAAATTCTACTAATATACCATCTGTATTAACTAAAGGTCATTTAAGTCAATTAGATACAAGTTTTGTTGTACGTGATTTTGAGCATTCAAATTCTACTACACCGGGTTATTATAGTCATGCAAAAATTAGTCCAAATATGATTATTGACTCAATGAGTGAAGACGCATCGGCCTCGTCAATTCCACCACCTTTACCACCATCTAATAGTCGACCTCCACGTTTACCTGCACGTGGTGATCCGTGTGTTGGGGCATCATCGAGTCAAGTATTTGGATTAAATAACAAAATGAATACAGATAATTTAGATAATCATATAACTAACGCCACCATGAATAATAATGTTATTAATTTTAATAATAATAATGACAATAGTGAAACTGAGAATTATAGTTTAATTCAATTTCAAATCACGAGTTAATATGAGTAGTATCATATCATGAAAATGTTTCTAAATCACAATCACACCTTGCTTATGTAATATACTTACTTATGCAAGTGAACAATATGATCTTCCACATCGATTTCTTAAGGAAATCTTAATTTCTTTCCTTTATAATTTCGTTCTTATAGTTGTTATTGTCGACACCGTCGTCTTCACTATATATATATATATATATATATATATATATATATAAACAGATATATGTTTCATTGTTACTGGTGTTCTACCAATAGATGAAGTCTATGCAAGTTTTGTCAACCTCCGCCTCAGTCCTCTCTCCGACTCACCCATCAATCATTGTGATAATTTGAATTGTTATTATTTTATCTTTTAAATCGCATTGTTTTATTTTTTTAATCATTTATTTCTCAAATGGTAGACATGCATTTATTTGATTGTGTATTTAATACAGTATTCTCTCTTCTTTTCCAAGTGTATATTCATAACAAAACTTCAAGTATATATATATATATATATTCGGTCTTACAGGGTACATTTACAGTTATCAAATGGTAGTCATTATGTAATATATGTTGGCAATTAATATGTGAGTAGTCTAGGAATCTAAACTTGCACAAATAGGCTACACAAAACATCTTATAAACAAACAAGTTATTATTAGTGGTGGTGATGTGTGTATGTGTAAGAGCATGCTCATGACAATCCTTCTGTCCCATTCTATTCAATCTTGTACAATGTTCTATGATCAATAATAATCATTGAATCTCTCTACATGTATTATTTATCTTACTTTATTTATCGTTCAATTATATACGTTTGTTTATTAATGATCATTTGTGAACAATAAGAATGTTAGAAAATAACAACATGATGATGATCATGATTGAACAAGGAATGTTTCATATGTACAATATCTACATAGATCTATTGGATAGTGTCTTTGAGTATTTTGGTGAAGTGCATACATTATATATATGACTTTTCAATTAATATTATATATTCTTCACTTTACTAATCAAGTAGAACTAGTGGAAAAAATAAAAAAAAACCAACTGACGGACAGACAGACAGGCAACAACGTCATTTACCCCAAACTCATAATAATATTTATTATTATGTGTTTTTGTTCTCTTTTCTTTATGGTAAATAAATAAAATAGATCAACAAATATGAGTATTCATTGACAAAAAAAATGTTTTGACCTATTCTTTGTCTTGATTTCATTCTTTTCTGTAGTGTACGACAAGATGTTCGTCTGACAATCAAAATGAACGAATATAATGGATAGCATTATAAGCAAAGATGGATAGTGGTTAGCAGTGGAATCAAGGATGAGCGTTTCGTCCTATTTGGGACTTGTCGACTGGATGCACCTGAATCTCGGAGTTGATGTTCACTATGGGACTCGAACCCAGTACCGTTCACTTGAAACGCCATCACACTATCTACTTAGCTACTGAATGCTGATAGCCACTTGCTTGTGCAATGGGGTGAAGTTTAAATTCGCAATATTAAGTGAATTTACAATGGATAGCAGTTTGTTCTGTCCTATGTCGTATCTGAGAAATATGGTCTGTAAAAGAAGACAACGTTTGTAGATTATTTGTAGTAAATCATGGGTATCTTTGAAATGTTTCTGGGGTATATTAGGAATACTGAGTGAATAACTTTGATGTTAGAATCATAGTAATAAGAATGGTAAATTTACTGATACAGTAGTGAATCTTGGTTGGGATTATTATTCACTCTTAATCCAGGATATTGGATCGACTGACTGAACATTTTAGGGAATAGTCCAACACTTCACCTCATTTGCTCACTATCTTCAAGCAATCTGAATGAAGAATTGATATAAATCCTCCAACTCTTGGTGGGGTTGAAATGACTATAGGCATTCTAAAGTGAGTGAGAGCATCGGGGCCCGATGGACTAACCCTTGAGATTTTAAGGATGACGGCCCAGTTTTAGAAGTTAGGTTGACTGAGATCTTAGCTAGAATCTGGGAACTGGACCTAATCTCATCTGACGGGTCTCGATTGGTGATCATCCTAGTTAATAAGAAAGGATAAAAGTTCTCTTGTGACAATCACAAACGAATCCATTTAACCAATATAGTGTCTCAAGTATTAGCCTCAGTAATACTTCGACGTGAAGAGTGAACCTAAGGAAGTCAGATTGGTTTCAGAGCTGCACTTGGATGTATAGATCAAATATTCACCCTCTGGCAATTTCTGGAACAGAGACACACTTTTCAACGTCCGACTACAGCTGTATTCCATGACATTAAGATGGCTTTTGACTCCGTTGATCGTGGATTACAGTGGCAGTGTCTGTCGTTAAAAGGCATTCCAAATAAGTACATCGACATCTACTCGAATACTACTGGTTGACTCAAAACTTATGAAGAACTGTCATCGGAATTGGTTACTTCAAGTGGTGTTCGTCAGGGCTTTATACTTTTCCCATTTTTACCTAACTTTGTCATAGACATGCTATTAAAGATAAAACCTTCGTCGTCTGTCTTTTTATGGCTTGACCTTCCTGGAGATTCACTTGTCGACTTAGAGTACAGATATGATGTAGTTCTGTTTGTTGAAGACTCTGACAATATGCAGGGTCTTTTGACCAACTTAGGCAACAATGCAAGCATATTTGGGATATAGTTCTCTCCCTCCAAATGCAAAATGTTAATTCTGGATTGGGTTGCGTCGTCTTCCGATTTAGTGATAGTGAGTAAAGTAGTTGAGCGCATCGATCGCTTCACTTGTCTTGGGAGCGCCATCACTATTGATGGTCTGGTGTCTGACAAAATCTCGTCATGGATTCGGAAGACTCAGTTGGCTTTTGCCAAGTTGCATCATTTGTGGCTTAGGCGAGATATCCGTCTGCCAACCAAATGGCGAGTTTACTGCACAGAAGTTCTCTTCGTTCTACCTTATGGATGTGAATCATGGTCATTAAGAATAGAGGACATTTACAGGCTACTAGTATTCGACAATAGGTGTCTTCGAACACATTGCTCGTGTGTTTTGGGACCACTGAGTAAGCAATTTTAGGAAGGTCGCTGGATAAGGATCCCAAATTAATTGAAAAGGTAGTAAATCTTCATCAACTTAGGTGTTTGGGACACGTATTACGTATGCCTAACCATCGCCTACATTTATGGGCGATGTTGGCTGGTGTAGGGTTTGGCTAGAAGAAAGCTAAGGCCAGTGAAACCAGAATATGGGATCAGTTCATGAAGTTATTACTATCGAAATGACCCATGTACTCAGGTGTAGACTACCTGATTGAGGTCCGTGTGATTATCGTAACTTTGAATGACGTCTCAGAATTAGTCTCAGTAGAGCAGGATTATTAATTGTTGTCTTCCTCTAAATTTTAAGCTTCTGAATCTCTCGTACTTTTTTTCGCTAGTCTGTATTTTCTTGAATCATATCTTGGATGCCTGGTCTTTTCTATTACCAATAGTATTGTGATTACCTCTACTTCTCTGGGATTTGATCTGATAATTTTGTCTCTCTGTGATAATGGGATATAACAACTTGATCTGGTGTACATACATACCAGATTCAACGTTGCAACTGACTGACTGACTTAGTCGACTGAATTGGTTGGGCGATGTTTATTGGTGTAGGAATAGGTTACAGAAGAAATAAATGAGGGGTAAACGAACACGTGGCATCAATCCATAACATCACTAACTGTTAAACTAACCTATGCAAATGGGTAAGAGCTATCGGGTTTACATCCACTTAGTTATCTTTTCCAGTGGTTATAGACATTGGATAACACGGTTTAGAGTCGGTGTCAGGTTATACGTTATTTATGACAGTCTGACTAACTTCAGTATCAATATCTACCTGTTCAGGTTTAGCTTTTAACCGCACAATTATAATTAGAACTAGGATATTCGAATTTTTATATCGAAGATATTAAAATCACACTAATTCTTGGGTAACTGTATAAATTTAAAGGAAATTTTAATCATTTAACATTGAATTGTTCTCCAACTGATAATTGTATAAAACCACTACACTAATCAACTATAATCTTATAATTTTAATAGTTGAAATCATGAGTTAATTGAGGCTAGACCACCATGGAAAACCTGAAATCACTGAATGACCATTTCGTCCTATTGTGAAACTACTCAACAGTGCGCATCGATCTTATAATCAACTGTTGATTAGTTTTGTAATGAATTTCAGACTGAAACTTTGATCCGCAAAATAATAATTTGTTCATAATATTTTGAATGGGGATTAAGGTGTATAACAGATTAATTGAAGTTTCTAAATGGAAGATAATAAATAAACCAGTCTTCAACCCTAAAATATGTACACACATAAACAACAACAAAAAACTTATTTACCTCTGATTACTTTCCAATGACAAATTGATTTATGGTATAAAAAAGTCTATATTTATGACTTGGTAACAGAATAATTATATATTGATAGAATATACCAAAAAAAGATATTTGGCTGGGAATTTAATGGTAAATCATTAAACGTTTGACTAATGGATAAATTTCATTTAGCTCTGCAAATTTTTGATACTTTTCAGCTGTTTTATCTTCTTTATCAGTTGATCACCGTCAACATAATTGTTTTAAGAAAAAAACACAGTATGAATGAGTTTTTCACTCAGTAACTAATACAATAAAAATGAAACAGTCGTACAGTGCATCCAGGCTTTCCATGGTGGTCTAGCTTCAATTGACTCATGATCTCAACTATTAAAAATTACTATAATATCCACAAAATTCCTTCTGATACTGACCAACATTAGCTCACTTGTGACTGGCTTCATGAGATATTTCCTGGAGTTCTAATGAGAAGCAGTGAACAGTAGAGTTCAACCAGGTCTGTGGTGAGATAGTAACTCACTGAAGACAATGTTGGATATGTCTCTCAGTTTCGTGAATTGGTTGAGGTTAGACATTAACACCGTTGGATGTCGACCAGCTCAGTGTTCTAGAGGTTAAGCGTTTGCGCTCAAGACTGATAGGTCCTGGGTTCGAGTCTTGCAGAGGGCGAGGTCGTGGATGCGCACTGCTGAGGAGCCCTACAACAGGACGAAACGGCCATCCACTGATCCCAGGTTTTCCATTGTGATCTAGCTTCAATTGGCTCATGATTTCAACTAATGAAATTACTATAATATCCACAAAACTCCTTCTGATACTAAAAATGGGTTTTTCTTAAAAATGGTCTAATGAATTATCACTTACTAACTTGTATCCAAGTGAAGATTGTTACAAGTTATTAGCCTATAATGGATAAGATTATTCGAGTTTGTGTTGAACTTTAAATCGATCAATAAATAAGCTTGGTACAAGTTATGTTGAATCAATTAGACGAGTGATCCTAATGTAATTTCATTGATATAATTCAATTAGCCTTAAAAGGACTTGATAAATGTGACATTTTATTCAGTATTCAGTGATTGATCAACATAAAAATTCAAGTCATACATATAGTCAGTTCTAGTTCGAATAGCTCAGTGTTAGCATCACAGACTGTACACAAACAGTACATGATATGGAATCAGTTGTTTCTGGAAGCATTAATTACATCAACAAATAATGTGAAATTTGTTAACAAGTGCCTACTAATAAAATGGTCTTCAGAAAAAAATAAACGTTCTTGTTAGGATATGGAATATGAGAAGTTGCTTAATTGTGAATGCAACAAGTGTCCAATGGTCATTATTTTTTTCAGTTTCTACCATTCTGTTTAATGTTAACTAATTTGAAAATGAGTAGTTTTCTATTACAAATACCTCGTCATTCTGATAACATCTCAACGTATACTCAGTCGTTTGCAACTGGCTTCAAGGTGAAACAGTAGTCTTTGGAGCTTTAAAAAATATTCATGACTACAGTAGATCTTATCTACATACTGGATAATCGTTTAATAATACTGAATGTAGGTTAATGATATTGGAAATGTAAATAATTCAATAAAGGTTTACTGGTCTAAAGCTGACGAGTTGATTATTAGTGACATTTGAAAGCTGTTATTTTGATCAATAGTTTTTAGGTTCTTTAGTGTACATTGTTAAGAAGAGTTTCAAACTATAGACAAACAAATGTCTCATGCTCTCTAACTTTGATTCGCATCAAGTCTTGATGAAAACTTGGTATTAAACAAACATCTTATTAATTGATTTCTGGAATACATGGATAGTAATTAA